TCAGCACTTCTGTGTTGACATGAATTATCATTCATCTGTTCATAGTTATAAATTAACTTAGAATTTTTCGAAATGCTAAGGCCTTTCTACCCCAGGAATAGAATACCTTAGCTGTATTTGGCAAAACCTTTCTGAATTTTGAGTCGTCAATGCTCTTCATCTTCGTACTCTATTAAGCTTTTTCGACTTTTTTTATTTAAACTTCACTGATGAGTCCTTTGTAGACAAAACGCAAATTGGCCATACACAATTTTTATCCTGATATCTATAATGAGTTTATTGTCAAAGAAAATCTTGTTCAATTTTATATTCTGAAACGGGCTGGTTTGACGAAATCGGAAAAAAACCTGCTATTTAAGAAAATCAATCGTAGTCTATCTCCTAATTATCTACAAACACTAATGCCACCTCTTTTATTACTTATTTCTGATTACAATCGTCAAAATAAAACTGACCTGATAGTATCATTCGTTAAAAAGTACATACTTTCGAATACATTATGATACTGAAATGTAATTGATGGAACCATTAAAAATGTAGATTCCATCTCCTTTCAGTATTCCCTAAGAAAAAAATCCCATCAATGAAAAACCCATAAAGTCGAATAAAATTGGGTGAATATTTTTTTTAATAAAACTTCAACATTCTTGTTCAACTTTAAATTTCGACCTATTTGGATTCAATATAATAGAATTTCAAGATCAATCCGACTAAATATAGTTTTTATTTGAATGTACGTTTTATGCACAAACCAGAATAAACTACTTTTTGTTCCGTCTTTAAAACTCGCTTTACTATATGAAAACACAAATTTACATCTTAACCAAAATATTATATTCTTAGTTAAAGAGGTCTTACATTTTCTTCGAAAAAAATAACTTTTTGACTTATAAATGGTTTATTTTCTTCGTTCTAAATACAAGGTATTTCAAAGAAGATACCTTAATTATATTTCAACAAGCAATGTGACATAGACCTGTGAATTTTTATGGAAAATTGTGTCCTTTCTTCTGTAATTATTTGATGTTGTTGCTGCATGCCATTATAACTAATTTCTATTTAGGAAAAGAATATCTTATTAACTATAACTTGAATGTGGTTGATTCTATTCGTTAAACGTAAAAGCAAAGACAAGATTGGTCAGCATGCATTTTAGCAACTTTTTTATATCATATTCAGACCTTGAAACTGACTACTGGATATTGTTCATGGTTTATCCTTCACCGTTCATCAAATAACTTATTACTAAAATACCATTTTATATACTTTTATATTTACAACTATTTTGTTTTAAATGTGTACTACTTTCCGGTATGTTCTCTTTTGATTGGGCCCGATATGGTGGTATTACATCTTATAAAGTCTATCCCATTTAATTTTGCAAAGAATTCCGCTCAAGCCGGTGCTAGGGATCGTCTCAAACTTTCAGTGAGGTGAGAGTTTTTTGTTCCGTGTTGAAGGCCTCATTGTGACTTTGAGACGAAGAACAGCAATAAAAGCGCTTTTCCTTTACTTTTGTGTGTTTTTGGCTGTCCATGTACTGAGTTTGTGTCATGGATGGATATCACATATCCTTTTATAATTCATCATAGTTTTCATCACTAGTATATCTATAGTAGTAGATTTATAGATGGTTACCATGCCAATAATATGTTTTCACTTCGTTTGGAGTTTATACGGTTCCGATTGTTCCATTCTCAAAGTTTCTCTGTTACTCCTGAAGTGATGATATTTGAAGTGATGGACCTTTGGGATGCAAAGGTCCTTCGTCGTATTTGAGAACATTTAATATAAAAAAAAAGATTTGGTATTATTGGCGATGATTCACATGTGCACCAGAGACCAAATGACGTCGACGTAAGACGTTGCGCACGATGTTGGTACTACTTAGCGTTACACGACGTTCCGGTTAGTGAAGCGATTTCGACGATTTCAAAGAACGTTTCAAGCGTTCAAGCTTATAATTGATGAGGTCATTTTACCGTTGTGAATTTGGTAACCGATTTCGGTTTGGCTGAAAATGCATAGTTTTACAAATAAAACTCAAAGTGGTCGTACACTTATTTTTTTTAATGAATATTCATTTATAGTTGTCAGTCTTTCCAGGCAATAATTGATCATTTTAATTTTGGCAGCAGTTCGCATTAATGAATCATACATTAATTTCCAAATTTATACATATTTTCTTTTTAATATAAATTAGATTTTGATTTTATTTTCCCTTTTTAATGCATGTTTGTACATACTCCTTTTGTTGCATTTCTTTCCGTTTCCGTTTCCTTTCTATATTTTATCATTTCCCGATGCTTTCTTTGTCGCAAAATTTCTAGGTAGTTAAACATTTTGGATTCATGTTTTTCTCATTTCCGTATTTTTGTGGCATTATGCATATCCTTTGTTTTGTTGTAATAGCCAGCAATGGTTTTTCTCTATTTTATTGTATTAACAAAAAAAATTTGCATGTTGCTTTTGATGATTTAAAACTTGCAGATAGACAACGCTCCTTGAATAAAACAAATGTCATGAATGTGCTGAAAAAAAACTAAGATCCCGATATTTTTTATATCAATCTCATTTGGTCAACATTTGAATTTAAACTTTAACTTTTCCTTTATCATACATTGGTTATATTATAACTTATATCTTTATTTTCATTCGATCGCGAATTAAACTGGAAACAAATAATTGTGATATAAAATTAAAAACCCGAGCATGACATCAATTACGTTTTGCGAACGTTGGGACAAAACGGCTATACTTTTTGAAACGATATAAACATCTTGTTGCCTATCGAAAAAATGTTAAACACTATATTGTTTAAAAAGAAAAAGAAAAAAACTTTTACCGCCAAGTTTTAATTTCTTTGATCTAATTATGCTTATTTAATATACAGCCGGTTAAAACCTCAATTGTAAAGAAAATACAGCGTTTTTTTCGTTGGGACAAGATGGCTATACTTTTTAAAGTCATTGCAATAGAAACTATACGCATGGTTTCCTGCAAAAAAATATCATGAACCAGCAGAAAAGTAAAACAACTTTCAAAATATCATAAATATTTTTCCTCTCAGCTTTTCCAATTTCACGGTATAAATGCGCAAACCCGATATATGTTTACCTTGCATATGCTTGGACATTTTTCAGACCGTTTTCAAAAATAACATTTTCCGGTTTACGGTTTCAGTGATATTGATTTTGCTTTAACACGCGAATAACAATAACAATAGCAATACTCTTGTGAAGTTTTACGATGGTCAGAAAAAAAATACTGTTGGAAAGAAACGGAACTCCGATCTTTTGCACACAAAATGTAACAATGGACATTACGTTTTTGCGTAAAAATGGGATAATAAAGTGTTATAATTCTTGATATTTCAAATTTCGGTTCCCTTTTTTCTTTATTTTCAAGTCTTATGTAATAAATTCAACCAAAAATCACTATATTTTTTATCGAACTGACCAGTCTACGTATTTATTTTCATGCTAATCTATAGCAAAATGGAATTCGTACCAACATCTTGCGCAACGCCTAAGCATATACTACTTTTATTTACAAAAATAAAACAAAATTTCCGTTGACCATCCTTTGTGAAAGATTTTGATATGTCAAAGGAAGTTTCATAAACACAGTCATGGCAGAAGTAAAAACTCGAAGACACACGAAATGACGGACGTAGATTTTATAATTATGTTTTTCTGATTTTTTTAAAATTGACATTGTTTAGTGAAAAAGAACGTGTAGTACTAAAGTACTTTTGTTGAAAGAAGTACGGATAAAAATCGTCATCAAGTTCAATATGTTGCTTTGGACCTGTTATCAATGGAATCAACTTAAATCGTAACTGATTTTTGGGAGATTTCTATTGGCCAGTCTATTTTGTTTTATTAGATATGTTTTGTACATGTAGACAATTTCTTTGTCTTTTGGTTTTTTTCCTATGTGGTAAGGTATTTTTTCTGTCCAACTATTTTTTCCTTGCTTCTTGTTCTCTTCTTGTTTAATTTTTCTCAATATCAAATGGAATTAAAATTATAGTGAAGAGATATATGTCAAACTTTGTAATAAAAGCAACCTTTTAACCAACACTCTAAGTAAAACAAAAACATCTCTGAAACAGACATCGTCAAGGTGTTTGATTTTTTGTTGACATATTTGTTATTTTGTGGAGGACGTGTTTTCAAAAAACAATCGGTGTTTCTATGGGGATAACTGTGCTCCTGCCCTTGCTGGCTTATTTACTTCTTCATATGAAACAGACTTCATACATACGCTTCTAGGGACAATTAAAAGCTAGCGTTATCCTTTGACTTCACGTTCCGTTATATAAATGATGTCTTCTCACTTAATCATTCAAAGTTTGATGACTATGTTGGATGCATATATCCCATCGAACTAAAAATATCGGATACCATAGATGAAGTTCTGTCTAGAAATTGACAATGAGTGTCGGTTTAGAACAAAACTTTACGACAAAAGATATGATTTTAGCTTCCCAATTGTGAACTTTCCATTTCTATCAGCAACATTTCTTCAGTGTCTTTATATGAAGTATGTATCTCCCAGATTAATCAGTATGTCAGAGCTTTCGATTCCTTAAAAGAGACTTTCCGCTTGTAAGTAAGCTTAAGCTAAAATTGAGGTCATTCCTTTAAACGTTGTACGAACATTATAACGAGTTGGTTCCCGTCCTTTTTTTTTTTGATTGTGACCTCACCGAATGAGACTTATCACGGGATTTGTACTAGCATCAATGACATGAAGGGCTATTTAACATAAAGTGCTTACCCTACATGAGCACATGAGTTCTCCTCCGAATTTTGGTTGGGATCGTGTTGCTCAGTCTGAAGATTTCTTTGTAGTGTGTTGTTGACTTGTCCGTCTTTTTGTTGTTTTTTGCCAGGGCGTCGTCAGTTTTTCAACTTACGAGTTTTGACGGTCCACTTGTTATCATCCGCCTTTTTTTCTTTGACAAATAGTAAACTTGTCTTGTGATCTCAACAGGTGAAAGGTATACCACTGTCAAACACAATAAAACAGCGGAAAATGCAACTGAAAAGGGCACTAGTACTATTCCTTTAACGGAAAGCATAACTGTTAATTATGATATAAGAGGTATGTAAATCATATTTTTACAAAATAGAAAATATTCATTTTTTCTCTTTATGTAAACATTATTATACAGTATATTTTAGAATAAATGGTGTGTTAATTAATTAGTTCCGATCTTGAAGTAAGAAAATATTTAAATGCTCAAGACATTTGATTTGATTATAATTGTTATTTTGAGATGAATCTTAAGTTTTGCTTTATCTATAATAACATCTAAATATCTTCGATGCAACAAAAACATTTCGTGCGTCTTCAAGATCCTAATTGAAATAATTTATAAACACTATTGTAAATTATAAGCTTACAGTGTACATAAAAACATAATCATGATAAAACAACAATTTATCATTTTTGCACTCACTGCATAGATGCGATTTCCAATAAGACAACTTTTCATTAAAGGACAAAGATGTGAATAATTATTAGTAAAAGTATAACCCACGATTGCTTTGATATCTGATTTATGTCTTGGGACGTCAGAGCGCAAGACTTATCGATAGCATGGGAAAAGCCGAAAAAGACTTAGATAAAAGATGTATCATTTTTGCACACTCACTGCATAGATACGATTTCCAATAAGATGTGTAAAATAACGAAGAATTGAATCTCGTATGCTTTATCTAATTGAGAACAAATTTTTTACGATATGAAAAAAGAAACTGACCGATCCAGTCTTCGTCGTTATACTACTATTGTGGGTGTTTCCCATTTTTAAAAGCTTTATTGTAAACTTTGATTGTACCTTGTACGAATCATGTACAACTGGCTTTCAATGCGTACATTTCGTTTTTTATATTTTGGTTTGATTCCTTTTTATATGCAGATGACAGAAACCTCATCCAAATTATATTCGGGCTGTCTATACTCTGCCTTACATTGATTATATCATTAGCTGTGTTTTGTGGAATAAAGCTATACAACATGTGCAAAAGAACGAGCATAATGATAACACCATCTGAAATCGAATCGACAGAAGCAAGGTATGAAACGATTGAAGAAACTGAAATTGTTGATATCCAACAATTTGGCGAAACACCAATAACAATAGCTTGTTCTGAAAACCAAAACCTATCCTTGGAGAGATTAGAACTAGAGCTTTTAAGTAGTGATGATTCGTTGTCTACAGATCGTTCGTCAGGTCATTCACATTATCAATATTGCACAAATTCATACGAGTCTGTACATGCTGCAAATTTAATTGACAGCAATGCACATACATATGCTTCAGGAATCCATGAAAAACAATATGAAGGCAGAGAAACACTGAAAAAAATCAAAAGTGCGCCATTTTGATACACATTTATTTTTTCATAAATATATATGTACAGTGTTTTTCAAGAGACATCTTTGATCATCAATTAATAAAATGGCTTTAAAACCTAAATTTACGACGTTGTTTCCAAGTAACAACGTTTGTGTACACGCTTTCATTATAAATATGAAATAGCAAATGCAAAGGGCTTTAAAGTGTATACAAACCATTACAAAAAGAAAATGACATCCTCTATATTCGTTTTACAGTGTAATTGATTAAATGTGGAACAACAAATTGAATATCAGAAAGCTATACATGCATTTACTTGTTTTCCAATAATTGAATTATATACAAGACAATACTTTTAATATAATTACCACATAAAAAGTAAAATCACAAAAATACTGAACTCGGAGGAAAATTCAAAAAGGAAAGTCTCTAATCAAATGGCAAAATCAAAAGCTCAAACACATCAAACGAATGGATAACAACTGTCATATTCCTGACTTGGTACATGCATTTTAAAGCTAGCTAAACCTCTCACTTGTATGACAGTCGCATCAAATTTCATTATATTGACAACGATGTGTGAACAAAACAAACACAATAGGTAAAAATGTCACAAATAGGGGTCAACAGCAACACGAACCCCACCAAAAACTGGTGGTGATCTCAGGTGCTCCGGAAGGGTAAGTAGATCCTGCTCCACATCTGGCACCCGTCGTGTTGCTCATGTTATTACTAAACCGGTAATTAGTCTAATTCGGTAGGTCACATTCGTGAAAAAGGAACGGGATTGTAGTTACGACATAAGGAACATATCCGATATCATCTGTGAAACGAACATTCCACAACGGTCAACCAACTCATCACATATACCTGAATTGAAATTCTGTACGCAAAAGACTCATCAGTGACGCTTGAATATAAAAAGTTAAAAAGGCCAAATAAAGTACGCAGATGAAGAGCATTGAAGGCCCAAAATTCCAAATACAGCAAATTGAGATAAAGATGTGTACAGTAATAATATTTTATCATTCAAAGAAAAATGTTAAATTTGTCCATGAAAAGAACACGTAAATGTCATTTTTAATACACACATACAATATTGTGAATATAATTTTTTATGTACTTTAATAATTTGCAACTTTTATCTAATTAGTTATCAAAGGTACCAGGACTATAATTTAATACGCCAGACGCGCGTTTCGTCTACATAAGACTCATCAGTGACGCTCAGATCAAAATAGTTATAAAGCCAAACAAGTACAAAGTTGAAGAGCATTGAGGACCCAAAATTCCAAAATGTTGTGCCAAATACGGCTAAGGTAATCTAAGTCCTTACAGGTATTATTTGAGACCACAAAATCGGACCCGATCAGAAATAACACACATTTTAAACGTTATCAGCAAGGCAATATCTACAAATAAGTCAAATGACCAAAATCGTCAGTTGACTCCTTATACGTGTTCTTGCCCTGTAAGCATGATTTTACCAACTGTTCGTTATTGGCTATAATTCTAAAAACAATAATAGATAAAAAGAAACTTTAGACACAAATAATGATTAGCATGACAAGAACTACAAATAAATCGACATAGCAGAAATTTTCCATCAACATCTATTAGGAGTTATTGACCTTAAATGACGAGTATTACCATTATTCATATTCATTTATTATCTTGAACACTGTAATATACGGGAGAAACCTTGAATAGCAAAAAGATCAGTGAGAAAAGATCACCCAATGTGTGAAATGGCCAAAATCGTCAGTTGACCCCCTATAAAAGTGATTGCTCTTTATTAATTATTACTAATTGTTTGCTGTTCGGGCAAAAACTACAGAAGATGTAGAGAATATCCATACAACAAAAATGATCATATCGACACGGTTTACCAATAAGTAAACAAAACGGACATTTCAGTGGAGTTCTTCAGTGGCAATCTGTCGAAGAATTAGGCAGTGGTGAAAACATGACAAAAATGAAAAAGACAAACAGAAAAACAATTGTACACAAAACACAACATAGAAAACTGAAGACTGAGCAACACGAACCCAACACGAAACTGGGGGTTATCTCAGGTGCTCCGGATTGGTAAGCAGATCCTGCTCCAAACTTAACTGTATCTATTTCTTTACCTGTTCAAGTTTACATTAATTTAAGTTCTAAATGTATAATAGTGCATGCATATAACATTTGTTTTCTTTTCCTGTTCTGGTATTTCAAGATATATTGTTGAAATGCACTAGAAGTTAACAATTAAGAGGAACTAACTCCATAATTTGCTACCATTCTAAACAAAAGTTAAGAGATTTCTGGAATTACCAGACACGCAAACACGAAAGACCTACCATTTCTAACTCAGGATGAGGGTAACTTCAAAATAGGATAGTTAGGTCGGCGGGTTTTTTTTCGGCCATGTTTTGATATTCTTCTAAATTGCCTGATTCTTACAAAGACTGGCACTTAATTTTCGAATTTGTCAATATAACGGAACTATAAACAACTGTCATACAAGTATGAGGTTTAGCTAGCTATAAACCAAGTTTAATCCACTATTTTTCTTCGGAAAATGTTGTACCAGGTCAGGAACATGACAGTTGTTTTTCCTCGTTCCGTTGATTGATAACATTTGATTATGTCAGTTTTTGTTGACTTTCCCTTTTTGAATTTACCTTGCAGTTCGGTATTTTATTATACTTTCTTACAGACGTTATTTCCCTGAAATGACGATTAACTCATTTTTTTTTTTTTTTTTGGAAAATATATAGTGGAGAGAAAATGCAAGCAGCAAAAATTATAAGCAAAACAAGATCTACAAATAGGAACACAGACAAAATCGTCAGTCGGTTCCTTATAAGAGTTATTGCCTTTAAGTTATGATGTTTACCCATTTGTTACATCTTGGGCTATAACTTAAGAAGATAGAGAAAAGCTGTACACAGTAAAAATCATTAGCAAGACGTACAAATAGGTCAACATATCTGTAATTGTCAGTCCATTCCTTATAGGAGTTATTGTCTTTAAATATAAAAAATATGGAGATGTGGTACAATTGCCAGTGAGACAACTATCCACCAGAGACCAATCGACGTAGATTTTAGCAACGAAAGGTCACTGTACGGTCACCTTCAACAACTAGAAAAACCCATACAGCATAGCAAGCTATAAAAGGCTCCGACATGACAAATTGTAAAATAATTCAAACGAGAGCTCCAACGGCTTGATTATGTACAAAACAACAAACGAAAAACAAATATGATATACAGCAAAAAAAAACGACAAAAGAGTGGCAAACGATACCAAAGGGATTGTCAAACTCATAAGTAGAAAAGAAACTGACAATGTAAATTTGAAAAACCCGAAACATGACCGAATGTGAAATAACGAAATTTACAAGACAATTACCAGTATAATCAATACAGACATTGAAAAAAGCACAAAAAAAAACTACATTTAAAACTAAAACAAAAACAAAAACAACATGAACCCCTTTAAAACAATACTAGGGGCGATATCAGGTGTTTCAGAAGGATAAGCGGATCTTGCTCCACATGTGGTACCCGTCATGTTGCTCGTGTAAGTACAACACAGTGATAAGCCTTATTCGGTAGGTCACATTCGAGGAAAAGAGGACGGGATTGTGTGACAAATATGTCGTCATCTGTGAATCAGATATTCCATAACGGTTTATAACCAACTCGCAATGGCGTCCGTAAAGTTTAGAAGGGACGAATTCAACTTCACTTATTTGAACTCTTAGTTAAATAGCTTCCTTGTATGCAGCAACCTTCTATAGCAACGACATCATGATAGAAAATGCAATCTCCAGAAGATATATTCTCCATATGCAGGCGATGCTGGAATATTGCAACATAAAAATGGAAAGTTCACAATTGGGTAGCTGAAATAATCTCTTTTGTCGATTTCAACCAACCCTCATTGTCAATTTCTAGATGTAGGTCAAGAAACGAGGCAGGCAACCACTGAATTAAATGCTTCTGACTTGGCACAGCCACAAGGAGAAAGTGATGGTGTAACATGTTTGTCAAAACCACGATTTTTACCATTTTTTTTTTGGCGTTTTTGGCAAGAAGATATAGAAAAACGTAAATAAGCAAGACCAGATCTCAATTGTATGGCCAAAATTGTTCGTCTACTCCTTTTAGGAGTTAAACGGCGATTTTGTTTTACCCGTTTTTACGTTTTGGCCAAAAACTATAGTAGATTGAGAGAAACTGAAAACAGCAAAATTTATTCAGCAATACAAGAATAATAAAAAAAAGAGAGGTTAAAGATGCACATAGATCCAGGTGAGCGACAAAGAAAATTAAATAGCCTCTAGTTTCATACAGAACAATTAAAGTTATTATACAAGATTACTAGTATATTAATTTACCTAAATGCACAATTATAAGGTTCCAAGTAATCATCTTCTGTGTGGGGGACCTGTGTTTCGTTCTTAGAACAAATATTTTGTGATCTTTATTCAAAAATAATACTTCTTTTTTCAATACCATACATGAACAAGACATTGTTTTACACTCATTGCCGTATTTATTTTTTTTAAAGAAAACAAACTATGCTTAACTTCCCGTCAGAATCCTCATGTATAATTCCTGTATTTAAGGCAAGATTAGAAATCGTATATTATGGCGAGTTTTTAAGAGACTTGTTCAATAGAATGCCCAATCCTACGGCCTTATTGTATTCAACTCTTTGATTGCTTCCAAAATTTCTATTTATATATTTATTCTCTCAAACCAAATTAAAAAAGTATAGAAATAACTATACTTATTTCAATACAATTACATAAATAACGCACGAAGTAGATAGAGACAATTACAGTTATTTTCCCTGAAAAAATCAATTTTTTGTTGATCTTCTTAATTATTTTTCACATATCATTTAGTTCTGAACATGTTTTGGAATTCAATAAATCATGAAACTCATAGTGTTAGGTCTATTGCTATAATAAAATTTAATACATTGTTTTCTACAATAAAAAATGTAATGGTATTCATTACCAATATCATCTAAATTGCACAATACACATTTTCTGTTTCTCTTTCTAAATTTTGCCATCTGCCAGTTTCAATTACTTACTTTTACTTACTTAGTCCCTT